AACAACTACTACTACTAGTAATTAGGTTAGTAGGTCGTACATTATATTAGTTAGTAGTACTCGTACGTCTACTATACTTACTTACTTATATATATATATATATATATATATATATATATATATATATGCGGTGCGCCCAAGTGCGTACTGCTACAGTAAACGCCCACGGCCCAGATTGAATCTGGGCTGATTTGACGATCACGGATGTCTGATAGTGTTTGAATTTTAATATTTTTCTACAAATCCAAATCACTTGAAAATTTAGGAGTGTGTTCTTCAAAAATAGGCGAATCTACGAAAAAATATCAAAAAAACATTTACATGAAATAAATTGACCAAAATACCCCTGATAAGTTATGGGGGATATTTTGGTAAAAACAATTTTACGAATTATTTTTTTTATATTTTTATTAGGTGCGCCTTGATGAGAAGAACACACGCCTAGAATTTCAAGTGATTTGGATTTGTAGAAAAAAATTAAAATTCAAACACTATCGAACATCCGTGAGAGTCAGATCGGCCACAGAATGGCCCAGATTCAATCTGTCTGGGCCATTCGCATATGGGCGTACAGCAGTGACTCCCATATATATATATATATACACGATACTCACACACAAACCACTCTATATCTATTTTTGCAAGATACACATCAATGGCAACTAAAACCTTTATTCGCATCAATTAAGAACTTTTCCTAAAAAGTTCTTTGAATTAGATAGTTACTAAGGGAAAGATTCATACATCTAGAAAAAAGGGAACTAGGACTAGGGGTGGCAATGGACTGCGCCAGAGCCCTTTAAGAAAAAATAAAGAAGAAAGGGGCAGGGCCGGCCCGTTGCCAGCCCTTTAGGAGAGTATAAAAACGCATGAAAGTTAAACACATAACCTATCCAGGTCATTAATTTCTATATGCCGATTGAGGAACATTCTTTATAGAACGCAATAGGGGAAGATAAAAATGCTTCCCTGCATGAATCTCTACTCCTCATATTTCCAAATAATCATTGTATTCACATCCTTCAAGTTGATTACAAAATGCAATTTTATGACATAATGCATTGGCAAATATTTCCACCAAGTGCTCACATGCCATTTTTAGCATAGTACCGGGAATGGAAGTGACAAGAGCTCTAGGATCGAAAGCGAGAGGGTGCAGTGAGGTAGCTCGAAGATCCATGGTCAGCGGAACGAGGTCCATACATGGTCAAGTAAAGGGATCGAGATCCTTGACTTTCGGAGAGCATATTCCATATATGGACATGAACGAAATCGTCACTATATGGGTCACTATATGGGATCACGTTCTGCAATGATTACACTCAAGGTTCTCAAAGTTCACTTATCCACAGTATAGTAATTTGAGAGTTAATTCCATTGACCAATAGGTTTAACATTTTCCAAATTCACTAACCCAAGTATCAATCTAAACAAGAATCATGTCATTGAAATTATCTTTGGCATTTTGTTGTTATTAGAGTATGATTTCACACAAGTAGTGCTACTAAAAATCCAATGTGGAGATTTAAGATCCAAGCCCTTGATCCCATGTTACCGGTGAGAATGGAGGGTGATAAAAACAATTACTAAAGCAAGAATCACTAAAAAGAATCACTATTAGTATATTACTAATGTGGGTCCATAACAAGAATTGCACACTTACCTACATAGGTCTACTTGCATATGTACACATCCTCATTGTTTGTACCAATCGGTTGGATTGAATGACTCCCACTCAAATATCAATTAGTGATTACATATAAGATGCTTGGATAGATTGATTCCAAAAAAAAAAATGCCACGATAGCTAAGCTCTCCTTTGCAAAACAAGAAAAAAGGAAAGACATTGCTATATATAAATCCCAATAGCTCTCCTTTGTCAAAGATTGCTAGGGGCTCAAAGACATATACACAAGAGAGACCTCACGTTTCCAAGCATATGTGTTCTTCCATCACCCATAAGGCAACCCCATAAGTGGCTCGATTTAGTTGATACATAGTTGTTGGAGGCGGGAGCGGAATCGGTTCAGGATTCGCCGAACCAACCATAGTAGAAGCTCCTTGGGGTTAAGATCAACGTCCGTACAATGAACAAGACAAGGACTGAGATCCTTAGAATTATGGGAACAAGATCCAATGCCAATGGGTTCGATGTTTTGACTAGCAAGAATCTAAGCTCCACTATACAAAAAAATGGGGTTGTTCTTAAAGAGTCTCTCTCTCTCTCTCT